CCTGTTCATGACTTGATGTGTTAATCACTAGGTAACTTTAGTAGCTGTTGGTACTCGGAAAACAAGCTTTTGAATTTAGTTAATGAAATTGATACTTTCAATTTGATTTCAGGCAGATTATTTGCTTTATTTATATGTCATCACTAATAAAATAAGTTCCACATTTTAAATATTTTTACTATTCTCTTGTAAGAAAAGCATTTAGTTATTACTAGATTGTAGAAAAGGAATTTGAGAAATAATTATTAGAGAATAAGAACTTGGAAAAGCAATTGGGAACAAAATCTATCCTGTTCATTCTTAAGCAAATAATCCCCCCAAAAATATTTGGCTATTATTGAGATTAAAGTACACAGGAACACATTTGTGAAATGAAACAGTGAAGTGGAAAGAGGAAGGGTTCATTCTTCCCATGATTCTTTCAAAATTATTTTTTCTATCACTTATGTATAACTATGGTTACACTTTTTAATAACAAAAGACAGAGCTCTAGTTACTTTTTCTTTGCTGAAGAAATCAAATGTGATCTACCCATACAACTCCTGTCAGTATTTTGATATATTTGTATACTTGTTTGTCTTACTCTTTTTAGGTTCAGTCGGTTTTTACTCTTGTTTGAAGAAAAGATTTGTCAAAAGTAAACTGCATAATAATCATTCATCTGAATGATCTTCTTTTATGAGATGTCACTCTAGCATTTTGACCTAAGGAGTCTATTTCATCTCACTTTTCCTTACCCAAATAATAAATTCCTTCTCTATATCAATCATCTCCGTGCTAGGCATTTCATTGTGCTTTTGAATGTAGAGGTGACAGTAAGACATTATAACAGAAATCAATCTCGCTCTCGCTCTCGCTCTCGCTCTCTTTCTCAGAAGGGGTACCATGCCATCTCACCACTGCACTGGTTCATAAACCTAGTATCAGTACAGATTTAAAGAAAACATGTTTAAACTAAGAGAATGATACAGGACAAGTAAATGTAACTTCTATTTACTAGATGTCAGACACACCAAGTTCATGTAAGGAACAATAGAGGTTAAAAGTAGGAAAAATTTGTACTCACATTGGCAGCACATATGCTGAAAATGAGTAGGAAATATTTATTGAGAGAGATAAATAAATATTATCTCTCTTGGCCCATTTCACAGAGGAAATTTTATAGAACAAAATCATAAGGTGGGCACCATGTGTATCAAAATTAAGATTAACCATTAAGTTTACAAGTATAGCTGCTTAGATAACATTGTCCCAGTGGGGAAACAGGTTACAAAGAAAGTGTACATGGGAAGGTTAAAAAGCTTTTCAGGAAAAGACGGATAAGGAGGTCCTGGTCAGCCACATGGGTGACTAATGTCTCTCTAGAGGATAAGTTTGTGTGAAGTCCCTGAGGCTGGGATGAATGTCTGTATTGTAGTTTATAGATAGCATGGTTGAAGCCCTGAGAGCCCAGGGACAGTATTGAGGGAATCCATATAGACAGAGTCTATTAAAAGTTTCAACCCTTGAATGGTAACTTATTGAAGGATTTTTCAATAGAGAGAATAATGTAATCGTATTTATTTTTTTAATGATCAGTGTAATTGCAGTGACCTTTATTGAAAAATTTGAAGGGAGCAAGAGAGAGTGCTTTGAAGTCTCATCAGGGAGATTCAAAAGTAGTCCATATGATGGTACCTTTAATTAAGGAGGAGTTGGGGGAGGGGATGAAGGGTGGAAAGGAGAGAAGAAATGTCTGAGAGTTGAAGGCAGAAAGACTTGTATGGTAATGATATGAAAATTTTTTAGCAAACACTCTCTTAAAATTTAATGTTTGTCAAATATTTGTTTCGACCTGTTTTTTTTTTTTCAAAATTTTGATAAACAGCGTTGAGACAGTTTCAAATCAAATCGGTAGGACAGTTTCAATAACTAACACACTGCATATATTCTTCTTAATGGTTAATTGCTGTACAAGATGCGGACTTGAGATCCTATTTACAAACACCATTAGAACAAATCATTCTATTCATTAAGAGAATGTAACTATATATCTAATCCAACCACTTTGCATACACAGATACAAAATGGACATTCATCTGTATACCCCTTTTTTTCTAAGTTCTCTACCTGTTTTATTATGAAGGCTCAAGTAACTAACTGGCTTTCTGACAAAATATTTCAGTGCTTAACATTATTTTTGAGCTTTTGCTGCTTACTGATATGTATAGGGCCTAAATAAGTTTCTTTCCATGCCCTTTCCTAGTGCTGCCCAAATCGCAAGGCAGGGAGATAAAAGAGGAGTAGAATAAGAACAACAAAGTATTTTAAAGTTTTGTAAGATTGTTTTATTACTTTGTGTACCGCTCTAACAAAATACTACAGACTGGGAATTTTATAAAGAACAGAACTTTATTTTTAATCATTTTTTAGCCTAGGAAGCCCAATATTAAGATGCTGATAAGTTCAGGGTTGATTAAGGCCAGGTCTCTGCTTTTCACATGGTCCTTGGAAGAAATTGACACTGTGCCCTCACATGACCGAAGGACTGCAGTATCCATGGGGCCTAGCCACTTCCTTACAGACCTTTTATACAGCAGTGCTCATATTAATAGGGTATAGGTTTTATGGCTCAATCACCTTTAAAAGGTCCATTCTCTTAATACTGTTACAGTGAAAAGTTTCAACATAAAAGTTTGGAGTGAGCAAAAACATTGAAACCATAGTAGCATTCAACGCAGGCAATACATATGTAAAAAGGAAACAGATTTTAAATTTTATAAGCGTGAAGTTAAATTACATTTAATATTACGGGATATTGTTGCCTTGCATGCTTATTTTATATTTATTTATTTATTTATTTATTTATTTTTATTTTTGATGTATTTATTGCACCAAAAATAGTGAAAGTGCCTTGGCATCTTTTGTCTGGGTAGATCCCTTTTGTGTGACTTAAGTTTTCCTTCTTTCATTATACCTGTTTTTTTTTTTAAACTTTTTCTGGATTTCTGTGATTATTTCTCTTTCTGATATGCCCTAATTTTGACACTGTTTCAAACACTGATGTATACCTTTATTCTTAGTATTTTAAGGAAGGGCTCTTTTCTGAAGATCTTGAGTACATATGTAAAGTGCTTAATACTTGTTCCATTTGAGAAATATATGCTTTTTCTAAAGAATAGATCATACTCTGTTTGGGCACACGTCCCAAAGCCAGCACTGACTTCTCATACCTTAGAAAATATGGAGTCCCTTCTTAAACCTAAAGGACTTAGGTAACCCAGTCTTTCCTATATTTCCCGTCATAGTTCCCTGAGTTTTTCCAAAACACTGAACTGTTTTTCCCATATTTCTTTTGCTGTGCTGCTAGCAAAGGGTTGTATCCCTAGGTTATCATATGGCATGTTCTCTCACTTTATTTCAAGTATCACCATCACAGAGGGCCTTCCAAGACTATACTTTCACAATTGGCTTCTAGCTCTCATTTAAACTCTTAGTGGTGATTCATCATTCCATAGCCATTTGACCTTTGTGTATCTTCTTTACCCTGTACCATATGGAATTACTTGACATGTGTACTACCATTTATCATTAATATTTACCCTTGTATATGTTATTGTTTTATTATCACAGAATATATTATGAAAACAGACTGTGTTATTCATGAAAATGCTTGTATTCAGTGCTAGCAGTCTCCTGTAGGTTAGAAATCATATTGCATTCCCAACAACCAAGCTCCCTTCTAAACCCTTTTAAGGAACCCCTAGAAAAAGAACCTTCATGGGTGTTCTGCGCAGTCTTTTACTACCATCCACTAGTGGGAGCTCCCACTTCTTTCCTTATACCTTTTAAATAAATTTGTTTCCAATGTGCCTCCTGTCTGAAGTTTCTTTGTCACAGTGGGACACAACCTCAGTTTTCTGGTCTCACTTTCTCTAGTTTATGTTTTGTACCTTCTTTATCTCCTCAGCTGACATATTAAGAAAATAGAATGGAGGGCTGGTGAGATGGCTCAGTGGTCTAAAGCACCTACTTAGAACAAGCTTAGCAAAGCACAGGGACCACGGTTCAATCCCCCAGCACCACATGCCAGCCAGCCCCGCCCCCTGGTGGGCTGAGCTGGCCACACACACACACACACACAAATAAATAAATTTTTAAAAAAAGAATGTTTAAAAAAAAAGAAAATAGAATGGAATATCTAATTATAATATGTAATGTAGTGAACAGATCTAATGAATTACAGGAAGAGTACAGGTTTTCAATTATTAAGTACCACCCTATCTTTAATTTCATTCTAAAACAACTTTATCAATATACTGAAATACCTTGGGTTGTAATTTGTTTTGCAAGTATTCCACAATATGATCAGACATTTCTAATAAATTTTAACTTAACAAACAAGTGATGTCTTACAATACCAGTAGTGCATGACACCTACTGTCTCATGATTAAAACTGAACCAGTGGCTCTCCCCCGCCCCTCCAAGCAAGAGAGTGATTGTGTCCCAAATGCAGGAGGTTCTGGAGCAGATCTCCACTGCAGCAGAGGAGAAGAAAAGGCTGAGGAATCTCTCAGTCCAAATGAGATTAGAGAAATATGTAAAACATGACAAGTAGTGCAAAAATTTGTAGAAAAGCACTACGAAAATAAGGCTCGAGGAGCTGGAGTAATAAATCTGTTTAACTACAAAACAGTGTCACACTTCCATGAAGTCCTCAAAAGGAGGCAAAAACAAGTGTCAAGGGACAGGTTTCTTGCTAAAGTTACACTAAGAGAAAAGAATCCATTAACCCATTAGGTAGTTAGTAGTGATTCTATTAGTGATAGTGCAAGTCTTGCTACACGTCTCCTCTTACTGATTTTACAGTGGATAGTCAGTTTCCTGTCGTGCCACTCTTGACATCAACTGTCATCAACTGACATCAACTGTATTAAAAGGTAAATGTGTTACAGTTTATTTTTCTTTACATTTTATATTTTATTATTTTGTGTTACAGTATTGTAATCACTTTTACATGTGTATTTTTGGGGTGTAGAATGAATCATCTGAGTTCCCATTTCCTTTCTTTTCTTCTAAAGAGAAAAATAAATTTCAAAACAAGATAATAGGAGGGTAGCAATGGTTAATACATTGTGTACTGTTATTTTTAAACTGTTACTTGGAGTACAAGGTATTACCCTTTAATTGTCAAACAACATTAGCACATTTCTTTTCAGTTAACTAAGAGAAAATAATAGTATAATGATGGGGCCGGGGAGATGGATAAGTGGAATAAGTGCTTCCTCGGCAAGCACAAGGGTCTGAGTTCAATCCCTGGTTCCGCCCCCCCCCAAAAACCCTTATATATATATATATATATATATATATATATATATATACACACACACACACACACACACACACATATTTTTTACTTTTCCCTTTTTTCAATTCCCTTATCCACGTTTCTCTTTCTTTTGAACAGTTTCTTTCCATTTTACAATGTCTGTTGTACATTTTGGATCTTATTTACCCTTTCAGAGTCTCACACTAGGGAAAAAATAATGATGATTGCATATGTATGCCTGGCTTGTTTTACTTAGGAGTGTGGTCGCCAGTTGCATCCATTTATCTATAAAAGCCTGTACTTTATCCTTCTTTATGGCTGAGTAGCACTCCATTATATAAAAATACCACATTCATTTATCCATTCCTCAGTTGATGAGCATTTGGGTTATTTCCAAGATGTAGCTAACACAAATTGTGCTGCTATTAAAAATGGGGTACGGGAGGCCTGCCCCTTAGCTCAGTTCTTTAAGTGGCTGCTACGACAAAGCAGTCAGGTTCAGCTGTGGTTCGATCCCCACAACTCAAGCCAGCCAAACCTGCCCTGAAGGCATTCAGAGAAAAAAAAATGGGGGTACGTATATCACTGTGGTATGATGTTTTTAATTCTTCTGGGAAGATACCCAGAAGGGGAGAAGTTGGGTCAAACCAATCCTAGTTTTCCAAGGAATCTCTACATAGTGGTTATAACAGCCTACACTCCAACAGTGAGGAAAGGTTTGTTTTACCCCACAGGCTCACCAGCATTTGTTATTAACTTGTTCATAATAGCTATTCTTGCTTTTTTGAAATAAAATCTCAGTATTGTTTTAATTTACATCTCTCAAATGACCAATGATGTTGAACATGCTTTATCATATTTACTTGCTGTTTATATTTCATCTGAGTAGTGAATATTAATCTCGGATGTCCATTTTTGGATTGGATGTTTGAATTTGGGAGATCTGAATTTATGAGTTCTTTATATGTTTTCAATAGTAGTCCTTCACCTGAGGAAGATTTGCCACGTATATTCGACCACATTGTGGGTTGCTTCTTCACTGTGTTGGTAGTTAACTTAGTGTGCAGAAGCTTTTTAATAAGATGAGATCTCAGTTGTTGATTCTTTGTGACAGTTCCTGTGCAGTGGGCTTTTTATTTATGAACTTTCTGCCAAGATCAATGTTTCCAGTATATGTAATGTTTCTATATTAATATTTAGATATTTGATCCATTTTGAATTTAGTGACTGGCGAAAGATATGGAGTCACTTTTTAATCTTTAGTTTGTACAGAGCCAGTTTTCCAGTACCATTTATTAAAGAGGCTATCTAAAAAAATAAATAAAATAAAGAGGCTATCTTTTTACCCGTAAACATGTTTGGCACCTTTGTGAAAGATAAGGAGGATGAATATGTCTGGAGTTGTTTCTGCATCTTCTAATCTTTCTATGGATCTTCAAGTCTTTTTTTTCTTGCCAATACCATGCTGTTTTTATTACAGTAACTTCATAACAATATTTTTAGCCTCTATAGTATAGTAATAAAGTCAAGGATTGTGATGCCCTCATTACCTTTATTGCCCAGAATTGCATTTGCTTTGTAAATTTCTTCTGATTCTAAATGAATTTTAAGATTGCTTTCTCTAATTCTGTGAGATATGCTGTTGGAATTTTGATCAGAATTGTGTTAAATCTGTTTAGCAGTATTGGAAGTATGGCCATTTTCACTGTATTGACCCTTTCTACTCAAGAGCAAGGAGTATGTTTCCATTTTCTGATGTCCTCTTCACTAATTTTTCAAAATTTCTTTAGTGTTCCATGTAGAGATCTTTCACGTCCTTTGATAGGTTGATTCCTAAGTATTTCATTTTTTGGATGCTATTATAAAAGGTGGTGTTTCTCTACTTTTCCTTTCAGTGAATTTGGTATTCCTGTACAGGGAGCCTACTGATTGTTGCTTGTGGGCTTTATGTCTAGCTATGCTGTTAAATTTGCTAGTTAAATCTAGCAGGTTTTTTAGTGGAGTCCTGGAATCTTCTCTGTAGCATATCTTGTCATCTGCAAATAATTAACTTCTTCCTTTCTTATTGTCATTCCTGCTATTTCTCTCTTGTCTAATGGCTGTGAGAAAAGTTCTCAGGAGTATCTTGAATAATAGTGGAGACAGTGGACATCCTTGTCTTGTTACTCATTTTAGAGAGAAAGCTTTTCAGTTGTCATGCATTTAGAATGATGTTGACTGTTGGTTTGTCATACATGGCTTTTATCAAATTGAGATGGAGACCATCGATACCCTGCTGTAAATTTCCCTCTTAGGACTAATTTCATTGTGTCCCATAAATTCTGGTATGCTGTATTTTTGCTATTATTTAATTGTAGAAACTGTCTAATTTTTTCTATAATTTTACCCATCACTCATTGGTTGTTTAGGAGGATCCTATTTAATTTCCAATTTTTTATGAAGTTTTTGTGGTTTCCTTTGCATTGATTTCCAGTCTCATTGCATTACAGTCTTATAATATGCATGGGATAATTCAATTCCTTTATATTTACTTACACATGTTCTGACATCCATTAGGTCCATTTGTTCAAATGTGTGATTCAGTTCTAATATTGTTGATTTTTTTATTTTTTAATTTTTTTTTTTGGTCTAGGTCTGTCTTCTTGTTATTTATTTTTTAGGTCTGTCTTTTTGTGAAAGTGGGGGTTTTAAGAGTCCCCAATAGAATTATAATATAGCTTATTTGATTTTTCATTTCCAGTAATACTTGTTTCATATAGTTGGGTGCATTGGTATTTGTTGCATACATATTTATCTTTATTATCTGTTTCTCTTGTATTAGTCCCTTTACAAGGATGGAGTGAGTTTCTGTATCTCTCTTAATCAGTCTTGGCTTGAAATTCATTTTGTTTGCAAATAGAAATGTTTCTCTTACCTTTTTTTTGACTTTGTTGCATGAAGTATTGTTTTTCATCCTTTGACTTTCAGCCTATATATTATGTATTATTGTTATATGTTACCCTGTTTCTTTTTGTTTTTCTTACTCTTGTTTTTATTCTTCAAAGTAAAAGAAAGTTATAATTAAAATAAGATTCTATCCTTGTGTTGAATTTCAGGAATCTTTATTATGATACGCCTTTCATAGATTTTTTTTTTTTATTATTATGGCTAATTAGAGTTCTATAGGCCTAACTTAACTATATGTGCAATTCTGTTTCTCTCCTAGGGAACGTTTCTGCCATGACCTCAACAGTTCTTATTCTTTTGTAGTATATTATTTGTGCAGTTTTTTTTCATGTTGACTTAAGTTATTCTTCTTTGTATCATCTACCAGATGCTAGACTTATTTCTTAAGGTCCCTTGCTATTTGTAAGAAATGTTTTATGTTCATAATCATGAACAGTAAACCTGTCTTTATATCTGAAATCCTGTCTTGTGTTTCAGGTTATGCTGCTGTGATACTTTCCATGGAATTTTTATTCTCCTGGATATCTCCAGGAATCCTATGAATTCCATTTCTTTCCTCTGCTAAGCATTTGTGGCTTTCATAATTTTCTTAAAATTTTTCAGCTCTTTTAAAAAATCTGTAACTGCTCTAGAATCATTAAGCATGATTTTCATGGGAACACCATTTCTGCAGTTATCTGACAAATTATTTCTGATTTGAATTTTTCTAGGGCCTCATTCAATTGCTTTTCTTTTTTGGTACCAGTGATCAAGTTCAGGACCTTGTGCTTCCAAGACAAGCATTTATACCACTGACCTATCTTCCCAGTCCCACAATTGCTTTGTTGTTAGCACTTGAGAAAGGCCATCTGGTTTGCTTTTGGTTAACTGGAATTCTGGGATTACATCTTATTTCAGTGTCTTTTCATTTTCTTTCCTCTTTTAGTTTAATTCCTTGGGTGATGCTTGCAAATTATCTACGATGGGTTGCTCTGTTGCTAGTATTTAGAACCTTAGGAAATGACTACTTCTCTGAGATATCTTCCAGGTGTAGCTTGCTTTGGGGTTTTTAAGTCTGTTTTATGATCCTACTTGTTCACTTTGTTGGGGAAAGAAGTTGCTTTCTGTTTGTCCTAGCCCCTGGTTCTTTGGCCCTGTGCTGCAGTGTTTTCTCTAGCCAGGAGTCATTCTCAGCCATGGAATTACCCAGGAGAACAGCTGTTTAGACGAGAGTCACTTTTGCCTATATTGGTACCATCATCAATAATGATAGCATCAAACACCACCTAGAATATGGCAAACTGAAATAACCATTAATTTACCACCTTTAACCATATGAACTAAATTTGTGATTATATAACAAATCTAAAACAAACCAGAAAATTATATTCCATATACAAGATCTTAATTGTCTGTTTCCCCTTAGGTTAAAATTTAAAATGGGTTAATGTGAAGATAGAAAAGTAGAAGGAAGAAGAAGAGATTAGAAATAAGGCTAGGTTACAGATGGGATCACTAAGCCCAGGTATTAATACACAGCTAATATGTACTAAATATGATAACTGTCCCTCCTCTAATTAATTGGAGAAAAAGATGAACAGTAATTACATAGAGTTAACTGAAAATTATTAAAACAATGGTTATGCTAGTACAGATAAAAGGAATCGGAATGGGACAATATTTAAA